AAAGATACCATGCACTTCAGAAACATGGCCCAGTGACTCTTGAACTAGAACAGACCTGAATGTCCCTTCCTTTTAAAAGAGGTACCATGTAAGCTTCCAAAGAAGGTAGGCAACTGACAGTCTGACCTGCCCATGACACTTATGAACCTCACCAATGACCAGCAAAGTGCAGTAGTGGCACACATACCTTGGTGGTAACTAGCAGATTCCTAATTGGACTTAAGATCCATTCAACAAAAAGGATATCATGCCTGATACTGGAAACCTTGGTAACTACCAGTGCTAGTGGAGTCATGGTTATTGGAGAAGAATCTACAATCACTAATTTACTAGACCAACATAATCTCTAACAACAGTCTATAAATACTATCCTTATACTCAAAGGTAAGTGTAGTCCTCACCCATCATCAAGGAAACTTCTCTGTACAACAGATGGAGGCTACTACAGAAAACCACAACTAATCAAATTGCAGAGCTGTGAATCCCAGTCCCAATGGATATATCTACAAAACACTCTTGCACCTAAGGCTTGGGGAATGTTGCAGAAGAAAGGGCAGAAAAAATTGTAAGGATCAGAGGTTTCCTGTGAGATTGTGTCTCCTAGTAATATCAGAAACTGCATTCATAAAGTCTCACCAACCTGACTGCCTAAGCATGAGTTGAAGAAGGGTGACAACAGTGGACATGCCCACATGGATGGGGAAAGCCCACGAGGCCTCAAACCTACACAGAGAACTACAGGCACTGAGAAAAGCTGGGAGCAGAAGTGGTCTTCCCCAGGGAAGAGGAGCACATTAATTGGTTATCCAGTGCCAGATGGCCAGCCCTGAAAACATACATGCAAGAAACATTATATGGGATAAGTAGGTTATATTTAGAAATACTTATCTATCATATCTATATCTATACCTATATCTATATCTATATTTTTGCATGCAACAATAGTGAAAAAAGTCCATGAATTTGAAGGACAGTTGAGAGGGGTTTATGGGAGGACTTGGAGGGGGAAAAGGGAAAGGAGAAATGTGACTATATTATAATCTCAAAATTAAAATTTAAAAAATGCAAAGACCCCTTCATGATAAAGGTCTTGGAGATACCTTAATCAGGGATAACAGGAACATACCTCAACATAATAAAAACAATATACAGCAAGCCGAGAGCCAACATCAAATTAAATGGAGAGAAACTCAATGCAATTCCCCTAAAATCAGGAACAACACAAGGCTGTATACTCTCTCCATATCTCTTCAATATCGTCCTAGAAGTTCTAGCTAGAGCAATAAGACAACAAAAGGAGATCAAGGGAATACAAATTGGAAAGGAAGAAGTCAAACTCTCACTATTTTCAGATGATATGATAGTCTACATAAGTGAGAAAAAAAACTCGACTAGGGAACTCCTACAGCTGAAAAACACCTTCAGCAAAGTGGCAGGATACAAGATTAACTCAAAAAAATCTGTAGACTTACTATATATGGATGACACATTGGTGGAGAAAGAAATCAGAGAAGCATCACCCTTTACAATTGCTACAAACAACATAAAATACCTTGGGGTAACACTAACCAGAAAAGTGAAAGACCTGTACCGTAAAAATTTTGAGTCTCACCGGGTGGTGGTGGCACACGCCTTTAATCCCAGCACTCGGGAGGCAGAGGCAGGCGGATCTCTGTGA